GTGAGAAAGCAAGTAAGAGTAACAGGAGAATGGTTAAGGAAATTGAGTTAATTCATGGAATAATAATTTCTTGGTCCACTATTGATTTCCTAAACAATCCTGATTCACTGATTATTCGTGGCAAAATGGGCAGATTAGTGCCACTGAATGACATAGGTGTTGAATGAGAAAGATGAGCCTTCATTCAGCAGGAAGCAAATGAAGGTATTTGCAAATGATGTGATCTTTTGTTCAGTTTGTCTTTTGTCAACATACTAAGATAAACATTGGAATTCCTTGGAAGTAAATGTATCACATTCTGTTGTACTAGACCAGTCAATCAAAAGTGTGCTAAACCAGTGGCTTAGGATGTTGCCTTTGTTCAAGAGTCAGCTAACCCAGAAACTATTTCACACAAGATCTTGGTTTATAAACTGATATATAACATCCACCCAGGACAATCTTATGAAGTCACCCCATGACTTGTGCATTGATTGCTGGCCATGTGCTGAACTTTCCATGCATTCAGTAACCAATCAAGCTCTCCACTTACTATGTTTTCTCAGTACTGTGATTTCTGTGGTATTCTTCTGAACTGCTTTACAGGAATAGCATTTGGAGCTGGGTGGATTGTGGCTTTTACCCTTCCTTTCCAAAAGTGATGGAGCTGAGTCCTGTTTGATGTCCTTACCTTTGTGATGTAATGTCCACCAGGTTTTATCTTATCCAATGTTGTATAGCAATTGTTTCAAATTGATGGGGAGGCCTTCCAGTGATCTGGGGATCCAGTTTCAAAGGAACTTTTCCTACCATACAAGCTTGCACACCTATTAAAGATAACCTTCAGAAGCTCTCTTTTTCATTCCCATCAACCCGACAAAAATGTTGAACTAGAGCAAAGAAGGGGTATTCTGGTGACTGTACTGAGGCTGTGGAAATGAAAGCCATCAAGTCTCCTTATTGTTGACTTCCTGGAAGTTGGCAGCGGTTTTCCTTTTGGGGAAGGCATTTGACATGCAATTGTACATTGTACTCTCTCTCTCAAATATTTTGATTTGTTTCATTTTTGTTATATCTATGAGTCTCAAAATGCTTGTTGAATGTAGGTAAAATGAAAAAGAAAAAAAATATTTGTGCTCTTTTAAATAAAAACAGAGGTTTAACCAAATTAGACTTGTCACCCATTGGTGTTTGACATTGTGTTTACATAACCTGCCCACTAATGAGAGAGAGAGAAATAGCTTGCATGCAACTTATTTGTTTTCAGTTGAATGATTACACAGCCCAAGCCCTTGGCTGCGGTCCTGCACACTCTGATGAGATGCTCAAATCCCATTGAAGACTGGGATTTAATAAGTTTAACTATAGGCAGAGTTGTAGCTCTGCTTCATTTCAATCACTAGAAGTTTCAGGCATGACCTCATTGTTAGCCTACCATTATTCAGTGTTAAGTGACCACCAGTGAGCACGCAAATGAAATTATGCTGAGAATGATTGTGTTATTTTTTCCAGAAAGCATGACAGACTTATCATTTCAGAAGATTAAAGAAAAATGCACAGAATGGCTTTTTGATGTACAAATAAATATTTGGGAATAATATCCTTATGAGAAAATAATACTGTATTCAGTAGTTTGGATCCTAACTTTCCTTCTGAGAATAAAACAGTTTCCCTTCATGGAATGGTGATTCATCACCTGTCTGTAGCCCCCAAAATCTGGTCCTGGGGATTTAAAGGAGTCTTTTGGAATCACATAGCTGGCTGGATAGCTCTGTGGTTTACCTATGGAGTTTGATTCCCCACTGTGCTTTTTCCAAGTAGATTTTGCAAGAAGAGTTAGCCTGCTTTTGTGACTCACGGTCCCAGGGCACTCCCAGAAGGAGGGAAGGGTAAACCACTATTGAATATTTTCTAGCTGGAAACCCCTGAAAAGTCGTTGTCGTCGTCATCGTCATCATCATCATTAAATACCAGGCACAGTCAAAATTATAAAAACATCTGGTATTAAATAACAGATACAAGTTTTAACAAAAAAAACCCAATATTGGTGCAGTGTATGCTGTTCCTAATATGCTGTTCTCTGCTCGTACTGAAATAATCATTAAGGCATCTTTTTTCCTTCTCTACTACTTGCTGTATTTGCAGTAATCCACGGCCTCCAGTTTTTCCATGGTAAATATAATCTGTCCACATCTGTGGAAGCATGTTCATTAGTTTCCTTGTTCTTCAATCCAATTCTTCTAATTTATTTTGAGTCAAATCTATTATTCCAGCTGGGTATCTAATTACTGGAACTGCCCATTTAATTTTGATTTTAAGATTTTCTGCAGTCTTTTGATATATTTCCTTTCTGTCAGTTCCTTAACTTTTGTGCACACAATGTTATCTGCTTCTAGTATTCCAAGGAATTTATAATTTTCATCTCTTGATAGTGATTTTATAAAATTGCCATTTTTAACTCTATTCCTTCTAGTTTTTAGATCTTGTCATGGTGTATAGACAGAACTGCACATTTGTCATTTCCAAATTTTATTTGGATATCTTCACTAAATATTCACACTGTGTTTAGCAGTGATTCTATCTCCATGGAACTTTTTGTGTACAGTTTTAGGTCATCCATGTGTAAGAGATTTTTCCTGCTTGTTCTGAAATATGGTAGCCCAATCCAGTTTTATCTAAAAGTATTTACATGGCTATTAGTGAGGTATTAAACAGCAGTGATGGCAAAGAACTCCCTTGGAATATTCTTATTGATGTTGTTGGGAATAGCATGGGAACACGGTGCAATGTTGTAGACAAATAGGTGAGCTGGAGAAAAATAAACCTGCCTTTCTCTTTAAAATGCTGGCTGAATAGCTCAGTGAGTTAGGCACCTGGCTTCAGAGCCAGAGGCTGGATGTTTGATTCCCCACTCTGCCTCCAAGAGAAGAGCCAACTTGTGTGGCCTTGGGCAAGCTGCACAGTCCCAGGGCGTCCCCAGAAGAAAGGAATGGTAAACCATGTCTGAATAATCTCTACTTGGAAAACTGTGAAAAGGGTTTGACAACATATCATCATCACCATAAAGTATTATCACTGTAAAATCCAAATTTCTCTACAGGTTAAATGGTGCCAACTTGTTACATGGACAGTGTTCGAGTAAGTAGGAACTAAGTTTTCTGTGGTGTATGTCTTGGTAAGGAAACCAATTGTAACATGGTTTAATTTAATCACGCTATCATTTAGGAAACCCTACCCTTTCTTTGAGCCACTTTTCTTAGACCAAGAGAAGAGCAAAGGGCAACTATCCAGATGCTTTTGGACTGCATCTCCCGAAGGTTCTCCTACCTACCAGTGTTGGACAGGTCTGATGGAAGTTGCAGCCCCTAAAGATCTGCAAGGCTGCACTTTATCATCCCACATGGTGTTCATTCTGATTTTGAAGGAGTGAATATTGCTATTGTGCCTTGCCCCAATCTGTTGGCAGAGTGAGTAATAATAGCTCAAGTGATTTCAAACTGGTATGTGTTTCACAATGGCTGAAATCCTGCTGCTCTGTTACACATGTGGAAAGCAAATGGTGCATCTTTCAGTGCTTTTCAACTGGCAATAAAGTCCTTCCTGGGATGCTGATGCACATGCCAGGTCCATGAGTATGCATACCCTTGAGAATCCTATCCTTGACTAGTTAATTACCAGCTAGAAGCAATTGAATGCTACACTGTTTGCTTTCAGCATGTACTGTATAACAAATCAACAGTATTTCAGCTAATACATACATAGACCACCGACAGCTACACTTGTTTTTCAAAACCAACAATGGAATAATCACAAGAACAATTATTTAGTGGCGGCCAGACTACTAATTTCACTATACCCTTCCCCTGTCTACTGATCTTGCAAATATTTCCATCACAAAAGGATGATATTGATCTCTTTCATTTGCCACTTCTTCATCTGGATTTACATGTAAAAACATTATAGTTTTTTTCTGTATCACACTTCCAGCAAAGCTGTATCTGTGCAATGTGTGATACTGTAGATATTTCTGTAATCAACAGATTGTTGGATATTTCGGGGGGATTTTTTTTAAAACTATAACCGGAATGTCTTATGAACGTTTCCATTCCTCTGGATCAGAGCAAGCACAGTAATGCTTACTAGTGATAAATGCTTCTGCCTGCAAAGGACTTCTTTGAAGTTGCTGTAATGTCTGTAATTATTTTCCCACCTACATCCCCTTCGAGCTTGGAAGTAACTATTTTTTAGTTCCTTTTATACTTACAGTGGTGTGGTCTCTCTACATTAGGAAGGATTAACAACAAAATATGGTTCAGACAGTGGCTTCTGCTATGCCCTGTGCAACTCTCCCATATTCCATTATGGACTGAGATGAAGATGAATCAGATAAGAGGAGGGAATGTTTTATACCACAGGCCAGTAGGCTGTAGCATTCCAGTAGTTCTGAGAAACTGCGACTGTGACAGCAACTTACACCTTATTGGAAGCCGCCCAGAGTGGTCGACCAGACCAGATGGGCAGGATATAAATCAAATAAATAAATAAAATAAAACTTACAGTTCCTTTTAATTAGGGCCTGGTACTATATTTTACAGTCCCTTTTAATTAGGGCCTGGTACTATATTTGTAATCAACTGCTTTTTTTAAAAGTGGTCTACAAAGCTCTGGATCTTCTGGATTGGATAATATATCTACTGCTCTAGGGGGCAATATCATCTACATAAGGACTGCATGAGTTTGAGTCCTCACTACCACCCTGGGTCATTTAACTGCAAAAACAGCAAAGTTTTCTTCTTTTTCTTTCAAAGATCCATTAATGTTGCTAGCAATTTTCAGGTGTAGCAAAGTTATTCTGTTGGAGCAATAATGGTGATACATTAAAGACAAAGATGTTTTATTTGGCATAAGCTTTTCACAGACAGCAGCCCCCTTAATGCATCCAGACTTGCTGAGGAAATTGCTGCCCCCTTATTAATAACACTTAATTTTCCATAGTAAATAAAGTAAATAAAGCTACAAGTTATTTCAGAACTAGTTGAATAATAACAACCCTCCCCCCCCCCAAAAAAAACACACCAGATGATATTTCTTCAATAGCAGAGCCAATGTGGTGTTGTGGATAGAGTATTCAGCTTGGATTCAGGAGATCGTGGTGAAAATCTTCACTTGGCATTAGAAGCTCACCAGGGATTAGTGGTAATAAACCCCTCCTTGAGCATCTTGCATATCTTTAAAACTCCTTTGGGGTCACCTTAAGTTGGAAGTGACATGACAGCATGTAACAACAAAACTTCTCAGAAAATACATTAATAACAGACTATGAACAGTTCACACGATGCTGCAATAAGATCCTGTAGATTCTTCCTATTTTATCATGTTTTGGGAGAACGTGTTTTTCACCATGAGAAACTGAGATTCTCTGTGGGATCTCTTCAGCTTTGCTCGGCGGTTCTGGAACCAAATCTAAAATTTAAAGAAAAGACACACATATAACAACACAGCATCACATAAATTAGAGATATTTGGCAAACGAGGCCTCAGTGCAGAGTCCTATGCTTGAAAATTCCACCTATGGAACACAGGACACTGTCTTACATCAAGGCAAAGCACTGGTCAATCTAGACCAGTAAACTGCACTCCTTGGTGGTACTACCCCAAAACTTCAGGGCAAGCAACCAGTCCTCATTTCTTATACCATATATAGGCTGCAGCTAAGTCTCATTTCTTACTGTGGATCAGGACCATCAGTCATGGTTGGGGGAGGCTTAAACACTCTTCTTTTCCTATCTTTCCCTATATTTATCTGTCTTCTTCTTTTAAAGTAACAACAGAGCAATGATGTTGTTTAAAAAAATGTTTTTGGAATGGCTATATTTTGTACCTGGCTTTGAAAAGGCTGCTTGTATTTTCAGTTAAATCTCCCTGATAACAGATCTATCTGAACTTCTGGGGACATATTAAAGAAGAGTACAAACTGGATGCTTGATTATCCACCGAAGCATGCACACACACAAACATGTGCGCGCACATGGAGACACACTACTGACTCTACTGTTAAATGATACAGAAGAGCTTGTATTTGCTCTCTGAAGCGAATCTAAATAATCATTATTCTATAATTTTTCCGAGACAAATGTTGAGAGATACTATAAAATAAAATTAAAAAGTCTAATTATCCTGAAGGAAGATAAACTCAGGTAATCTAAATTTAATTGACACTTTAAGAATTGTTTGAAACAGATTTAAAGTTGTCTTTGAGATGTTCTTGTGAATTTTAAGTTTAAAATTAGCTATTCTCCATTTTTTAATTTACTTTCATAATTTTTCCAATCACACCTGTCTTAATTTTCTAATTCCACATAAGCAGAAGTTTGAAGAAGTACAGTCTAATACTTCATGTATTTACTGAGAAGCAAACCACCTTATGTTCATAGGGGCTTACACTGCATTAAGAGTGCTTTAGACTGAAGCCTTAGGTTTTGGTAATATAATTGTCTGATACAGGTTACAGTTTGCTTTGCTAGGTTGCAATTCTAAACACACTTACTAGGGGTGGCTTGTGGACCCAAAATAGGGGGGTGTCAATATTTTAATTGGGGACAGGGAATGCTCCACTGCTCAAGTCACAAGCACCTGTGCTTTTGATAAACCCCCACTGATTTGAAAACAAATGCACATACAATCGTCATGTTAAACCCTGATCTTCTGCTATGGGAAAATAATGCTCCTGCTTCAGAATAACAAGTTTCACATCAGTGTAAATTTGTGGAGATTCAGGAAGTAGAAAAGAAGGGATTCCAAAGCCATATGTAAGCACTCTGGTGGTAAGAGTCTTGAATATGAACAGCATGGTATTGTTTCCATCAAGTAGTCATCACACCTGTGATGAAAGAATACTCAAATGATTATTTTAAAAACATACCTGAATCCTGTCTTCATCTAAGTCAAGTTTCTGAGCTAGTTCTTCTCTTACATCAATGCCAGGATAAGAATTCACCCTGAAAACGTTTTCTAGTATTTCAATCTAAGGAGAAAAACAGAACTCTTATTATTTTTTAATTTAAACTGCACATGCATGTAGGCATGTGCACACACAATGTTCAGCTAAGCATTGATCTTTCTGATAAAAATCTGGCTCAGGTTCTAAGCTTTAAACACATCAACCAAACAGAACTCAATATAACTATTTTGGACAAGAATAGTGATTATATATAACATTTGTGGATCTTTTATGCAATAAACTGAGAACTTTACATTTTTTTTTGTGAAACAGACATTCTTTATGCTTACTAATAAATGTGCTTTTTCCAAATAATGTGCTAAAGAAAACATCCATTCTTAGATATCTGAATAGGTTAAATGTACAACATTCTTACCTGGTTTCGAGTGAATGCAGTCCTCGGCCTCCTACCTCTGTACCAACTTAATTCCCTTTTGTATGAAAGCCTTTCATTGATTGCAAAATAGTTTTCACATTTCAGAACTCTTCCTTCTGCTTCTGGGTAGCTGCTTGCATTAAAGAAAGGGATTGCATAGGAAATGGAAGGGATATGCAGACAGGGGTTACAAGCCTCTCCTGAAAAGTCATAAAATGCAGAACTTTAATATAGTGCTCAATGGCATTTTAGGTCATGTAATTAAAAACACAGACAAAACAGGATAGCCATTTGTGATTTTCTTTACAGGCTATCTTGTGGATGCCCAGTACTTGTAATATAAAACACTGAACACTGACTTTTAAAAAAGTTAATAAGATGAGATCTGAAGCTTCCATCTTACCTAAATCACTGGCTTTATCCATCCATGGCCTGTAAGGTTTTGCAGCTGGAGTGCCATCTTTTTTCCGATCTAACTCCAAAATGTTTTCAATGGAAAAAGAACGTGATCTGTTTTTGTTTTCCCCAAGACTGGATTTGTTCTGTTGATTATGAGAAGTTGCATTATTATAAGAACAGAGAGATCTGCTTGCCATTCTTATTGCCGCTTGTCTAGATACCAAACACCCCATAGTTCAGGTTTTTCTTGCAAGTCCTCCTTATAGGTTTGTTGACAAGGGGGTTGGATTTGCCACGTCATTAATTAAAATCTTTTATTAGAAAGTTTTAGCATGTCAATGAAGAGTCTCCCACCAAGAGGCACACGGAGTTAATTGTTTATTTGTTTGCAAGTAATTAGCAACTAATGGTGACACCAGGGGGGGCAGCAAGAGGGACAAAAAGTGTTATCTCCTCTAACCAGAACATCAGACTTAACTTTCTCAAAAGAACCAATGCACAACTATAGCGCTTCTCTTTTATTTGGAGTCATTAATGTATAAAATCAGGATTTAAAAAAAAATAATACTCCAATGGACTCCACTTACCTAAACATAACAGCATGATAGGAAACCAGTCAAGTAATAAGTAATCTCATTTAAGTAAATTTTCTTCCAGTGAAATTTTAAAAATATAATCTCTTAATGCTATTAGGGTAATCCTGATGAAGAAGCTTCTGTTTTTTCATATGCATATGTAATGGTGAACATGGTCAATAAAATAACAATGGTGTTTGGCAATGAGGCAGACTGCAGTGGGGTTGGCAATGTTGTCAGAGCTCTGTGTAATTGTCTTCCAAGTGCTTGGATTACAGAACAGTTGAACCAAGGACTTTAAAAAGGTAGACACTTATTTGCTCTCTCTCCCAATCCCAGCTCACTACCTCAACAACTGGTATTACTGTATTTTAATGCAGACTAATCAAAAGGTAACATATGCTGACATTCTCAGAGGAACCCACACATTCTTGTAGAAAAACTTTGAAGAACAATTCCATACAAAGCAAAAGTGAAAGATCCTTCAGTGAAGCAGGACGAAACTCTAAATTACCAATGCTTAAAGAGACCATGTTTATCATAATCTATTAACAGTGTAGATAAGCAAGAGAAAAGAGCCACTGGAGTGTAGTGGACAGATGTTGGACTAGGACTCAGGAGACCTAGGTTCAAATTTCTACTTGCTTATGCGAAATTCATGCTGGGTTAGTAATGACAAAATTACTCCTTAAATATTTATCATATTTTGTAGCTCTCTATTTTGACTAACTATACATTTGCAGTGAAAAGGCATTTTTTAAAAAGTAGCTTGATTAAATAACTTTTCAATTTGTTATGAAAGTAGCATTTATGTGTATAGCATGAATGGAAAACTAATTGGCTCCTCCTTTCCTTTCTCTGTTCAGGAAGCTCATATAGTACTTTTGTTATATCATCACAAGAAATTCAGATATCATCAATGAAAATAGGATTTGCACCAGCACTCGTCATAGTTGTATTAATTAGAGGACAGAAGGGAACATCTCAGCAATCTCTTGTGCAGGGGGCTGAAAAATCTGTGGTCCACTGTGACAAACAAGATACGTTGTTATGACAAAACACAGGATGCTTTTTTCCCCAGGTGACAGAACAAATGTACCACGATGCTCTCACCACCAGCATCAGATTGGCCAGTAACTATGCCGGCTGAGGTATTCCGGAACTTTTAGTCATAAAAGTAAATTGTTCAAGCTTTACTGTTTGCAGAGGTTGAGAAAATCTATTTACCAACAGGAAACTCAAGGTTATACCTTCTCTTTCACCCACAGTGGGTGTTATGTTGTGGATCCAGACATGATAACTGCTTCAATATATGGTTCTTTATTCTAAAGATGACATGACATAAAGACACACATCCAATAAAAATATATGGTTCTTTATTCTGAAGACGACATGACATAAAGACACACATCCAATAAATACCCATAACTCCACCTCTCAATCAAACCTTCTAGGCATCAGCTCATTACAAGGTCCACTTGTCTCTTACAGCTGTCAGAAACCTCCTTTAAAGTGCATGATACACTACACCCCTGCCCCCTAAGACAAGATTGTACCTGGTTACAATCAAAGTCTTGGAAATAACGAGGAGGTGCCCATATTCACTGAGAATGTCTTAAACCATTATCTTCAGCCTGCCCATTGGGACCCAATGGATCGGGCCGTTTCAGCATTGATGCCTCCGGACATTCCCCAGCATCACTACCCTCTGGTCTTAACACTGTTAGTGGATCTATAATGGGTTGTGGCACAATCTTTGCTACCCGGGATGCCCGGCTTCCAGTGCCACTGTGTCATTCTCAGATGCTGACATCCTCCTTGGCCATCCCTGCCACAGCTGACATCACAATTCCTGGCTCTCAGGCTTTGTCACTCGTTATGACACCAGCCCAGTTGGCATAGCTGTTGTTGCTGGGACCCAATCAGGGCCTCTGCCATAATTACAGGCATAAACCAGATCTCCAGGGTGAAAAACCCACACTTTCCCCCCTAATTCTTGTGATTCTTCTGCTGACAAGTCTGGGTACAACCTATCAAGGATCATAGTCAGGCTTCTATTCATTAAAAGCTCCGCTAGACTACAGTATCAAGGATCATAGTCAGCCTTCTATTCATTAAAAGCTCCGCTAGACTATGCCCTGTTTTAGAGTGCGATGTAACATGTTGTTGCAACAAGAATGCTGCCAACTGGTCTTGCCAATTCCCTCTAGCCAGCCAGCAGAGAGTGTCTTTCACTGTCCTTACCATTCTCTCTGCTAGTCCATTAGTAGACGGGTGAAAGGGAGCTGATGTCACATGCTGAATAGCATTATCTCCCATAAACTGCTGAAATTCTGCTGACATAAACCGAGTGTCCGGCAAACCATGTGTCACACAAAGCTTCCGAAGTGTACGAACAACAATGGTTGTGGACATACTGGACAAAGGGACTACCTCCAACCATTTAGAAAAAACATCCACTACAATAAAAAAATGCTTGTCCCTGAAAGGGACCAGCAAAATCTATATGGAGTTGGGGCCAAGGGCCTTGTGCCACCTCCAGTAGGTGGACAGGAGCCTGTGCTGGTGAAGGTCTCGACGCCTGACACATCTGACAAGAACGAACCCATTCTTCAATTCTCTTATCCATCTTAGGCCACCAAACATAACTACGGGCTAGTGCCTTCATACACACTATACAGTGGTGCCTCGCTGAATGAGCGCACCGTACAACGACGAAATCGCATAGCGATCCCTTTTTTGGGATCGCTAATGCGATCGCTCAACGTTTTTTAGATAGGGCAAAATTCGCTTTGCGAAGATCGGTAAGCATTTCGCTTACCGATCTTCGCAAAACGAAGCCCGGCGATCAGCTGTTCAGCGGCCAAAATGGCCACCGGAAGCCCGGAAATGGCCCAAAATGGCCACGCGCAGCATTTTCGCGCCCTCGCGAAAGAAGCATCGCTGAACGGTGAGTATTTGGCCCATTTGGAACGCATTAAACCAGGGGTGTCCAACCTTTCACCTTCCCTGGGCCACATTAGAAGATGAAAATTTGGTTTGGGCTGCACATACATTTGGTTTGGGCCGCATGGGGGGGCAGCCCTAGCCGTCCTCCACAGCCCCGCTCCCAGCGCTCTTACCGACAGCTGCGATCTCAGACAGCAGAGGCTGCCAGCTTCGACTCTGGCGGCTTTATGGGGCTGGGAGGGGGTCCATCTATTGACGGGGATGGCGCAATGCAGTCACGCAGCCCCCCTGTCCCCTCCCCTGCCCTCCCGCTCCTTCCTTCCTTCCCTCTCTCCCCCTCTACTGTTGTGACATGCCCCGGCCAGGGCTAGTGCCTTCATACACACTATACAGTGGTGCCTCGCTGAACGAGCGCACCGTACAACGACGAAATCGCATAGCGATCCCTTTTTTGGGATCGCTAATGCGATCGCTCAACGTTTTTTAGATAGGGCAAAATTCGCTTTGCGAAGATCGGTAAGCGTTTCGCTTACCGATCTTCGCAAAACGAAGCCTGACGATCAGCTGTTCAGCGGCCAAAATGGCCACCGGAAGCCCGGAAATGGCCCAAAATGGCCACGCGCAGCATTTTCGCGCCCTCGTTAAGCGAGGGGAGGGTGCGAAAATGGCTGCCGGCCATTAAGAAGCATCGCTGAACGGTGAGTATTCGGCCCACCATGTTTAATGCGTTCCAATGGAATTCCCTGCCCCGTTCAACGATGCTTCAGCATAGCGAAGGTTAATCCGGAACGGATTAACCTCGCTATGCGAGGCACCACTTGTACCTGGGTGGCCAACATGTAGTGCCTCAAACACTTGTTGCAACTTGCTTAGAATAACAACTCGATTCCCCCACAGCAAACAACCTTTATGCACCGAGAGTTTGTTCTGTCTACAGCTAAATGGCTGGAACTCTTCCGTCATTAGGCCCTCTGGCCATCTCTTCTACACCCAATTAAGGGCACAGGCTAGCATGCAATCCTTAACTGCGTGAACTGCTACATCAGAAACCCACACTGTTGCAACTTGCTTAGAATAACAACTCGATTCCCCCACAGCAAACAACCTTTATGCACCGAGAGTTTGTTCTGTCTACAGCTAAATGGCTGGAACTCTTCCGTCATTAGGCCCTCTGGCCATCTCTTCTACACCCAATTAAGGGCACAGGCTAGCATGCAATCCTTAACTGCGTGAACTGCTACATCAGAAACCCACACTGGAGGCCTAGACAACTCTTCCAATACTAACACATGGTGAGCTGGTGCCAGATCTGGCAGCAGGAGTCAACTGGATCTGGCAGCAGGAGTCGACTGAGGGCATCAGCATGACCTAACACCTTACCTGGGCGATGCCTCAAATTATAAGAATAAGCTGACAAAAACACCATCCACACCATTTTGTGGGTACAAAATCTGTGGCGTATGTGTCTCTAGAAATTTGTAAAAGAGGTTTACGATCTGTAATAATAACAATTTGAGCATAATTACGCTCTGCTGGTGACAAAAATAAGCAATAGGTGCCTCCTGACCATTTGCCATTTTGTGGCTAAGGACCGCCCCAATTGCATATGGGGAGGCATCTGCAGCCAAAATAAGTGGTTTCTTCTCATCAAAGTGTATCAAAACACTTTCTGA